CTCTCTCTCTCTTTTTGCGTCTTCTATCTATGTATTATATAGTTATTATTACTAAACTAATTATTATTAGTAGTGGGTGTAATGCTGCGCACTAAGTCTCATGTTATCTTGTCGTATAATGATGGCGGGTTTGGATGTCTCAAGTGAACTTGTTCACGTCCCTGCCCAGGTGAGGGTGGTGGGCGGGGACATACATTTTGGGCAAGGATGCATTTTTTCGTTTTTTTTTAATTTTTGGGGAGCCTATTTTCGATAAGTCGTGGCCAGCACCCGAACTTTTAGGAGGCCGAGCCTGCCGTTGATAAATCTGATCGGCGGCCGTCGTTTCGTTTCGGCCTCCTGAAAGGTCGGAGGCCGAGTATTTTCGAACCGTCAAAGGTACTGGTGCTTTAAGGATGTACTTTTGTCGTGGTACCTGCAAAAGGACATTTTTTTTGCATGCGTCCCTGGGAAAAGACGAACTTTATGGCATGGGCCCTGGGGAAAAGATGTACTTTTTGCCATGACCCTCTCTCTATAAAAGGATGGGTCAGTATCTGCTATTCGGATTTGGACCTTACCACTTTTTTGGCATGACCCCTGTGAAAGGATGTACGTTTTTTTGTCATGAACCCTGCGAAAAGGGCATGAAATGCGGAATCTCTCTGAATTTTCCTCCAATTTGAATGGGGTTTTCAAGAGAAGGACCACCACCAGGGCCTTTTATTTTATTTAATATTTAGCAGTTTAACAAATTAACGCTGGCCAAAGTCAATGCGGAATCGTCATCAGATGGTCGTTCTGCATCTTGGACATCAATTAGCCTGTGCCTTTGACATGATCACCTAGGGGGCATGGTATACCTTGTATCTTGACTGTAATGGCATCCATGTACATGCCTGAGCTGCGGCAGTGTGTGCGAGTCAGTGTGACATCATTCAATGTGTTTTCTTTTTTTAGTTTTCTTTTGACTTTGAAGTTTGGAGTCTGGGAACGCTGGTCTTACATCTATATATAGTCAAACCGAGCGGTAGGCAGAGAGGGAGAAGAGGACAACAAATGAGGGGCTGTGACAAACAGTTTCGTCAGAGTTTCACCGACTCATCAGGAGGCTGCACCCTCAACAGTCTGCAGAATCCCCCAACTGATTGCACTGTAAGTGATAATCCACCTTAACCCCACTTGTGGTTAAGCATCAACAACTGCCCGACAACTGATACCTCTCTGAGGAGGTGGGGACCACCAAGCACTGCTCTCAAGGTAGCTGTGACGAAAATCAAAGCAGACTATCACTCACCCACACCAGATGGAAAAC